AGCCTTCACACAGGGTGCATGCCTGAGCATGGCCTGGGCGCACGGCCGCACACACACGCGCAGGGCTGCAGTCACGGCTCAGGGCCTGGGCTTCCCAGTGGCTCAACAAGGGCACAGAGCAGACCGCGCAGAGCCACGAGCTGTGGCCAGAGACGGGGGACAGAGGTGACCACCAGGCCCCAAGCCCAGGCACCTCGCTCATCCTCCGGGCTGGAGCATACCCAGGGCCACGCCTATCACAAACTTGGGGCCAGCTCAGGGGTGTCACCTGCTCCCCATGTGCGAGGACGTGGGTTGGGCTTCCAGCAACGCTACCAATTAAACAGTGAGGTTGTCTGCTGCATTCATCCCCCAGGATGCTGCCGAGCAACAGCCATGCACAAGTGAATCTCAAGTTTCCCTTCTCCAAACCCTCATCACCAGCAGCCTTCAGAGCTCAGATGCTTTTGGATTCTGGAATGTTTGCATATGCATAATGAGAGGTTGTGGAGACCCAAGTCTCCTTTCCTGTCCTTTCCTTTCCTATCCTTTCCTTTCTTCCTGTCTCTGCTGGTGACTGAACCCAGGGGTTCAGTCCTGAGCTACATCCCCAGTCCCCTTCCTCATTTCTCGACAAGGTCTTGCTGAGGCACAGGATACCTGGCTGAGCTCAGACCGGCAATCCTCCTGCCCCAGCCTCCCACGTAGCTGGGATTCAAAGAATGCATCGCTTTGTCTGGTTTGTGACTATTTTGCCTACACACCATCACTCGCGGCTAGGTGTGGAATTTGCCACCTCTGGCATCTTCAATTTTGGATTTTTGGGTTAGGGAGACTCCACCAGGATCAGTCCCTTCACAGCTCCGTCAGATCCCCGGGGAATGACACCAATTAAAAACCACCCGTCCTAAAGTGGTCACATCCTCTATGATTCCTTTTAGGTCATATTATTTAAAGATGACAAAATGATGAAATGCAGAAGAGATGCACAATGAGAGGTCCCCCAGGGTGGGGCACAGCTGCCCAAGGGCCGCAGGCCGCAGGGATGGCTGAGGCTCTGTCAAGCTGCAGCAAGGTCAGCCGGACTGCTGCCAGATCGAAGGACACTTCAACAAGACGCCAACCCGACAGGAACAGGGTGAAGGCTCCGGGGACTCCCCTATGTCTTATGCTACAACGGCCCATCTGAGGTCTGCCTCCAATACCTCGTCCCTTGCCCACTGGGCTTCCATCCAGCCTATTCGGGTCTCCATGTAAGACCGTCTGACCAAAGGGCCCACTGACAGCTAGAGACAAACCACTGCCCCAGCCCAGCCTGTGCACAGCGCGGCCCAGGGAGGTCCAAGCCGATGGTCCCAGCCACAGAGAAACTCGACGGTGAGGCTGGGGCTGGGCCCGGGCACCTCTTCCCTCCCCGAAAACCTGCACCTCTGAGCCCAGGGTGGAGCGGCATCAACAGAGAAACGGGGCCCGGCCCTGCCGAGGACGCTATGGTCACAACCCACTTGCAGACTACCAGAAATGCAGGGGCGCAAACTTAGACGCAGCCGTTTGCCTGTGAACTCTTCATGCTTGTGAGACCCACTGAGGCCGGGCCAGTTTACCATCAGCCCTTAGCGACAGGGCATGGTGCTGTCCAAAGTCTCAGCAGGGGAAAGGATGCTACAGGTGGAGGAGTAGAAGGGGTTAAAGCTGGAGATGGAAAGGAAGGGTGCCCCCAGCAGGCCTGCCTGGCTGCAGCCGCCAGCAGTGTCTCCCTGCCTCTTCCAACTGCCAGAGACCCACCAGCTGGGGGTGACTGTGCCTGCTGCCTGCTCTGGGGTCCCTCCTGCTGGAGGGAGCCAGGCAGGAGACTCTGGGGTGAACCTGGCAGCTGGAAGAGTGACCGAGGTGACCACCTGGGGGAGCAGTGGGGGGCATTGGCATTCCGGGGCTACAAGAGGAGGAACCAGAGTTCTGCATCCTGCAGGAGGTGGGTCAGGGATGGGAGGACCCAGAAGGGCCTGGGGAGGCTTTTTATTTTGCTCGGGTGAAGAACACACCCAGACACTGTGCAGGTGTGGCCAGGGGGTGTCTAGGTTATAACTGGGGTCCCCATGATATAGGCAATTCTATTAGAGATAGCGGGAGGCATCATGGTAACCATTGTTGATCACCTTGTATTATGCTTTTACATTATCTATTATGTCCACCCTTTTGATTTGACTGACTCTGTTCTGTTATGTCACATTTGGTTCTACTCCCTTCCAAAAAAGTAATAAGAACTGTGGGAGCAATAAAACCCAAAATGTGTAATAGTCATTGTCCAAAAGAGAGGAAAAGAAAGTGCTCTAAACGATATAACTGCATGTATATTTAAGTGTATAAGACAGATAATGATATTACTGAGTTTTGTTGGATCATTGAACAGAACTGTTTGCAGTCTCACTGTTGGAATGTCCACTTTATAAGCTTTAATTTTGTAACTTGAACAATTATTTCTAAGATGACAATATGTAATCCATTAACTAGTGATTTCCTACTGTTTATTTTTTTCTGTAAACCTGTATAACTTGTACCCTTTCTCTGCTTATTTTTCTTTTTCTCCTTAAATAAAATTTAAAAAAAAATAACTGGGGTCCCCAGGAAGGTCACACCTCTGCACAGGGGTCCAGGATGGAGCCATACACCACGACTGCCCCCCGAGGCCTCTCAATGAATTCCCGAAGTCAGAGGGAGCCCTGTGCATGCTGAGAGTTAAGGGCTCAGCACGGTCGGGTCACCCACACCTCCCAGAGGAGCCACTGTGGGAGCCTGGCAGATTACACAGGCACAGAGCGTGCTCTGTGAGGCTGATACCCGGCAGCTCAGGGACCCCCACTGTAGCTCCCCAGGACAGAGACTCGGCCTTTGGCTGCCCCAAGGCACCTTCAGGCTCAGAGGGAACTGCTTGCTGCAGCATCAGGAATGGTCCTGGGACAGGGGTGATGGGTCTCCAGAGCTACATGGGGAGGAGGCCATGAGGCGGTACAGGGGTGGAGGAGCAGGGAGTGGGTGGCAAGGTCCCTAACCTGCAAGGGACACGTGCCAGGCCTAGCTCGCCATGCACGCAGCAGGGACATGGTACTTTGCACAGCTGTACAACAGCCCAGGCATTGCCAAACAGATGCCCAGCATCCTGGACCATGCAGCCTTCACCAGAGACCCTTAGAGCTGAGCTGGTTTGGGAACAGAAAGAAGGTGGTGGTGGCTCCCCTCAGACGGGTCTGGGGTGTGACTTCCAACACAGAACAGGGGCCGACTTGGAACAGGACCTCCCTTAACAGGGCACAAGCAGCCTGCCTTCTGGCTCAAGAGCCATGGGACCAGCAAGGCCCAGCCAGGACAGCACCCGAAATGTCACCATGGCTCCCCCACCCACAACAAGCTGCTGCTCCCATGTCCTGCCCTGCCCAGGTACCAGGCTGCCCAGGACTGCGTAGCGCAGGGGCTCTACTTTGAGGACACCTTCTGGAAGCTACAATCAGGAAGGAGATGAGGGGCAGCATCTGGATGGTGCCCAGCGCCTCGGCTGCTGGTCCCAGATCCAGGGAGGCCATGATGGGACAAAGCTGCCCCTCCAGGCCTCCTGATGAAACTCTAGGGTACTAAGGGGCAGGGCCCCAAAGCTGCAGCAAGTTCCCCAAACCCTGGGGGCTGGGCCCCAGAGGAAGGCCTGACTCAGCTGACCCTTGGGTAAGACCAGGCAGGGGAGACTTCTGAGAAGGGAGCAGGAGGCCCAAGGCCCAGCCTCTGTCCTGCTTCTCCAGGAAACAGAAAGTTTGCCGTCATCTCCCTCTGCCGAGGAGCTAAGGATGCCTGGCTACCGAGGCCCATGTGTGACCAGACTGCTACGGATACTGGGCAGGAGAAGATCATCTGGTGACCGGAGGGAGGTGGCGGGGCTCCAAGCTTTGTGCGAGAAAGGGCAGAGCCACACGAAAACAGCACCAGCAGCACTTTGGAGCCCAACTGGATGCCCGCTTGGCACGCTGTGTAGACGCATTGCAGGCACTGAGGGTCCCAAGCCACTTCTGGGGCCACATGCTGTCCTGTGCAGGTCCGGGAGGACCGCACCTCGGCTCAGATGCCCAGACCGAAACTGGGAGCAACTTGGGTCGGCGGCAAGTTGACAGGTGCAACAGGAAACGACTCAGAGTTCCCTCGGCCCGGGTCCTCCTCTCCGGGAGCCCCAGGACCACCATGCATCACGGGTTAGCAGGGACAGACAGCTCAGCCCAGAGCAGGGACACGGCTCTGAGCCCCAGGCCCACCCAGGTACGCCGGTGCCACAGAACGTGCTAGCCAAGGTCCGCAGAAGAACATGCCAGGGACATTGCCACCGGAGGTGACACAATTACCCCAGGCCCGGGCCTCACCAGGGAAGACCCTTGCAGGCTCCAGTGGTTTTCAGGGTGCCCCTCAGGCCCAGGGCTATAGCCCTCACCAGGCCAAGACAGCTGAGGCATTGACCTGCCCCCAGGACGACAATGGGGGACACCCCAAGTCGCTGGCCCTGCACGCCCCTCTGCCTTCAGGGCTCATCCTGCCTGAAGCCGCTGCTACGCTCTGAGTGACCTACAGAACTGGCGCATCAATGGGTCCAGGTCAAGGCCCATGCCCCACTGGCCCCTGTGTGTCTGTCCCTGGTGCCCAGGCTTCAGATCACAAGGTACAGGCTTGAAATGGACAGGACAGGCGAGGTGCTGCCCCAGCCCTCACAGGGAGAGATGCCCTCCTCCTCAACAGCCCAGCAAAGGCCAAAGCAGCCCTGCTCCTGCCCGGGACAGAGCCAGGAGAGCCCAGAGTCCTCACTGCACTCCTGTAGCCTGGCCGGGACCCGAGCCTCCCCCAGGCTCCCGGGACAGCCGCCTGGGCCACGCAGACTGGAGTCCTGTGAGGACGCGTGCCTGAACCTGAGAGGTCCCTCTGTGAGTCTGTGAGCAGGGGCTGCCAGGGAGCGGGGAAGGACCAGGCCACCGAGCCCGAGTTCAGGCACCTACCTTGACCTCCGCAGGGCCTCTTCGTCAGGGTCTTGCACTGTGGGTAAAAAGGAGCCAGTCAGAAGGAGACCTGGGCATAAGGAAATATTGCCCTGGAGCTAGGGGACAACCCGGGACTGAGCACTTCCTGTCCCCAGCCTGAGAGCCGGGCAAGGGCAGAGGCCAGAGGATCGGAGGGCGAGGGCGCCATGACCCTCAGAGGCGCCCTCAGAGTCTGCAAGCCCTGGAGGCTGCAGGACGAGCTGCTGCCCATGATGGGCCCAGGACCCAGATCGGAAGTCGCTGTCATGACACGGGACAACCTGCTGGGGGACCCCGAAGGAGGCCGGCTGGAGCCTCACGATCCCAAGCTCAGGCCACCATAGGTGGACGCCTGCACCCCACCAGCCCCGGCCTGGCTCACTCACTGTATTCTGTCCCCGTCATCTGGGCCAGGATGCGGAAGGACCGAGACTGCAGGTTGGAGGAGCGGCGGGCCCACTCATCAGCCTCGTCCTCGGGCTTGCTCTGGTTCTTGATCACGGCCTGGTACACGGGCGAGGCGCTGTCCACCGCCAGGTCCTTCACGGGGAGGCTCCTGGGAGCAGAGGCGGGTGTGGGTGGGGCTCCTGCTGCCCTCCCCGCCCCCCACTGCCTGAGATGTGAGCGCGGACCTGTGCAGTGTGACTGGGGTCCTCGGTGCTCAGTGGGCCCCTGGTGAGGCAGCAACCTCTCGGGCCATGGGGACGGGAGGATCAGCCCCTCCTCTGCTAACTGGGCCTGGCAGTGCCCCTGCCCACCCAAGGCTGGAGCCCATGTGAGGAAAGAGCAGGCAGGAGGGCTTCCCTGGGCAGGCCCTGGGCTGGCCTCCCTGTGCTAACATGGTCCACAGGGCAGTGGGGCTCACGGCTCCTGGGGCTCACAGCTGGGGGCCAGGAGGCTGGGGGAGCCATGTGCGGGGCACAGGCCCTGTCCTAAGCCTAGAGGCTTTTGGAGGGGCCTGGACTCCCTTACAGTCCCAAGGCCTGGCACATCCGCTGGTTTTTAGCTGAATGAAAGAATCCCGCATCAGAGCCAGGAGGGTCTGCAGGGCCTCTCAGTCTGACACCACTGCAGGACGGGCTTGGACACAAAGCTTCACAGCTGCCCACCGCTCTGGCCAGGCCTCTGGGGAGTCCTCTTAGAAGTCGAGGTGGCCCGGACAAAGGCCACTGCAGGAACAACTCACCAGCCTTGCCAGAACGGAGGTCCAGAGGGGTCCACCAGCCACTTTAGGTCTCAGCTGGGAGGCCCCCAGGGAGGTGATACGTAGGTTTGCTGGCTCCCCGAGCTGGGTCTTTTCAGGCCCCGTAGTCACGGAAGCACAGGAAGCCCACTTTGGCTCAAACGCCCTACATAGTGCCCTGCGCTTCCCAGGAGGCCTCCTGGCTGGGAGAGGCCCTCTCTTCATCTAAGTCCTTCATCTAAGTCCTCTGCCTGCAAACACCTGCACAGGGAATGGCCTCAGGTCCCAGGACAGCCCTCAAGCCTGTCTCTGGAGCTTCACCATCCAGGGGCAGGCGCCAGGCGTCTGCTGCCCTTTCCCTGGCACGTGCCCGGGAGGAGCTTCCCTGTGCCTTCCCAGCCCCACGTTCACGAAAGCTGCCTAGAGGGAGCCCCTCGGTGCCCCAGCCTGGCCAGCGTCCTGCCCACAGACCAGGTTTGTTTTGTGTCTCCCACAGTGATCAGGCATCAGATGAAGGAGCTGCTGCCCCCTGCTGTCCCTTCTGAGGCTCAGGGAATGCAAAGAGGACGGGGCTGGCCCTACAGCTCTGCACCCCGGGCCACTCTCGGCCTGTGCACCTTGTCCACAGTAGATTCTTCGGTCAACACAAGTCAAGGTCACCCCACTGTGCACCCCTCCCAAATCGGAGGCATCATTCACCTCCCACAGGCAGGCAGTCCTGGCCAGCACTGCTTTCTCAGAGCAGGGGACTGCTGCGGAGTGGCCCAAATAACACACAGCAGATCCATACAGCCCCACTGGGCCTAGGAAAGGTGGTCTTCCTGCCTCAGCCTCCTAGGTACTGGCATGCCCCACCACACATGGCTTACTCTGATTTCTGGAGCTACATTGCAGGGTTTGGGGCTGATCCCCAAAGTCAGGTACTTGCCTGGGGTGTCATTTGGCTGCTGGAGGTGGGAGTGTGAGGGAGAACAGGGCCAGAGCCTCTGGACGGGTCCCCCACACACCCTACAACCAGACAGAGGGAGGGCGATGCCGACGATGGCACACACAGCACAGGGTCTACTTACGCCAGTAGCGACGCCCTGCCAAGCAGAGGGGACCCCAGGAGTGTGCGTCCATCATGGATGGTGCACACAGGGTGGGCAGGGATGGGGATGAGTTATGGGAGTGGGGAGCAAAAGAGGAGAAAGAGGGAAAAAATGCGGTAAGGACGGACCTGGGGACATTAAAGGGGCGACGGAGCATGGCAGCGAGGAGGCAGGAGGCAGGAGGGAGGATGGTCCCTCCCAGGCACGAGGAAGGGACAGGTGGGAAAGGGAGGCCGTGGGAGGAGCCGGAGAGCCCGGTCAGGAAACACAGTCAACAGCACACCACTTCCCGAAGCCCAGGAACCCTGGCAGCAAAACCGAAGACCGAGCAGCAGCGGTGCCTCCGCGGCTTCCCCTCCCCAGGCTCGGGCGGCTGCCACCACCTTGAAGAGCATGTGGAGGACCACGAGGCCAGCTCCGTCCACAGGGAATGGCTGGCAGCTCTTGAGCTCCAGGTGCAGCCTTGCTTTGTGGGGTGCAGGTGAGCAAAGGGGTGCACAGTTGCTTTTGCTGTGCCGAACCATGGATTTCAACACCGTGCAGAGCTGCACAGCGATGCAGGCTTGCCCAGCAGATCTGAGGCCTGTGGGACCCGGCCCTTGGGAGCTAACTGGCCGCCGAGCCCGGCAGGGTCCTCCAGGACCCTGCACCCATACCCGTCCTCTCAGCACGCGCTCACGCAGCTGTGGGAAGGTTTAACTGCAGCCTCGAGACTTTTGTCCCGTGTCCAGGGACTGAGGTTTTGCCCAAGAAGACAGGCAGCTGGGACTGAGTGACACTATGGCATCAGGAGGCAGCGAGGAGTGGGCAGGGAGGCACAGAGAAAGGAAAGTCAGGCAGGGACCCAGAGGGACGCACGGAGGCAGGGATGCGTGCCTGTCACAGAGAGAGAGACACAGAGCTGAGAGTGAGGCGGACAGAGACGCACAGAGACACGGACGGAGGAAGGGAAGGGACGTGCCACTCCCCTGGCAGTGCTACGAGCTGCCTTGCCCTGAGATTGAGGCCCGCTCTCCCTGGTCCACCCCATGTCCCCAACCAGAGCTGGCAGGCAGGCTCCGGGAACCGAGGACACCTTGCAGGGCCACTGCCCTGAGGCGGGGCTTCCCACAGCCCCAGAGCCCATGAGCAGGGCTGAGGGCCGACACTGCCTAACTGCTGGCCCCAGGCCCTGAACTGGGACCAACTAAGGCCTGCAAGGGTGCAGCCACCACGTGTCCCCACCCTCACCCCGGCAGCTGGATGAGAATACACCTTGGGCTCCAAGAGCGCCTTTGAGTTTTTGGTTTGTTTTCCTGAGACAGGGTCTGGCTATGGACTCAGGCTGGCCTTGAGCTCACTCTGCAGCCCAGGCTGGCCTGGACCGCTTCCGATGCTCCTGCCTCAGCCTCCCGAGTGCTGGGATGACAGGTGTGCACCTCCAGGCCCGGCTCCTGAGCTCCTTTGAGAGGTTGGAGGGAGTCTCCTGCTGCTCCTGCCTGTTCCGGGAGCTGGGGCTGGGCTCTGAGGGACCACGACAAAGCTGCTCCCGCCGCCGCCTCCTCCTCGGCGCTTACCCGCTGAAGTCGCTGCCCTGGGCCTGGGCCTGGCCAGCGATGGCGTCCATGATGGCGTCCTGCGAGTACATGCTGATGGGCGTGTTGTACTGCGCATGGATGATGGTGGCCTTGCCGCCCAGGCCCTTCACCTCGATGGGCTTGTGGGTGGACAGGGCCGAGTCCTTCAGCGCGCCGGGGTTGAAACGCTCCTGGTAGTCGGCACTGGGGAGCCCGGCAGGGTCAGGGTGGGAGGCAGGGAGGGGGAGGAAGGCAACAGGCGCAGTTACAGGTAGGTCGAGGCAGGGCAGATGGCAGGGTGTGGAGATCTCCCACAGCGGAGCCCCGACCCCAGGGAGGCTCCCTGAGCTCTGCTGCGGCTGTCGAGGTCTGGTCAGGGACATTCTTCACACCTTGGGGTCCGGTGCAGGAGGCGTTTGGTGTTTGTTATTTTCCAGTATTAGGGATTGAACCCAGAGTCTGCACTGTGCTACATCCCTAGCCCTTTAAAATAATAATAATAATGATGATGGTGATGTCTTCTGAGAGTCTGTCTCACTAAGTCGATAAGCTGCCCAAGCTGAGCCCAAACTTGCAGTCCTCCTGCCTCAGCCTCCCAGAGTGCTTGGATTAATTTTTGTCTGTCCCTTCGGGCTCTGGCCCAGCTGGAGCTGCCTCCTGGGGTTTGCAGGGGTCCTTTGTGTGGAGAGATCTCCCACCATGCCCGAGAGAGATGCAGAGACAAAGCAGCAGGCCAGGTGTGGGGACAGGAGCCAGGCCATATAACAGGCAGCACTGCAAGCCGAATCCAGAGCATCCCCTCTAAAAGGCTGGCAGCAGCATCTGCAGGGTGCTGAGCAGGGCTCCTCCACGAAGGCTCCTCTGGACAGCCGCCCCACTGGGCCAGGCCTCTGTCCCAGCTTTGTCCTCCAGGCCAGCTGGGTGAGGCTCCGGCCTGCGCCCATGAGGCTTTTCGGCCAGCAGACAGGTGTGCAGTCCCTTTGGGGGTGTCCCGCTGGGGTGCAGAGGTCTTCGGGCTCACAGGGCCCCAGGACAGACAGCTCTGCCCCTCCCCCCAGCCAGCCTGCCTCCCAAGCAGCTGGAGCAGAAAACTGGGAAGGATGCCCAGGCCACCAGAGGAACAGACACCTCCCTGCTGCACGACAGCTGCTCACACCCACACAGCCGCACCCAGGGCACCGATGCAGCCCCTTTGCGAGCGCACACATGGACGCATGCGGCAGGTGCACACCGCCACACCGCGCACACACGCACACATGCATGCAGGGCCGCCCGGTGCACACCATGCTTGGTACTAACTTGGCCGGAGAGTTGGCTACCACCTGGGTGGAGAGAGGGCAGAGAAGACAGCGGTCAGAGCCGGCTTGGGGGTCAGAGTGCCGGCCCATCAGTATGGCCAGGCAGAGGCGGCACCAGCCCAGAGTTTGCTGGGCGAGGGGAGGTGAGAGTCCTGGCCTCAAGGGCCCCTGGGGGGGCTCTCCTTGCCAGAGCTGGCCCCAGCCCCTTGTGCTTTGCCAGGGAGACGGAGGGTTTTCGTGTCCACTTGGACCCTGCTTAGTCTGGCTTAGACCCTTGGTGGAAGCCACAGGTGGAGATGGAGCCAAGGCAGCAGCTTGGGAAGGGCCCGGGCCTGGTGCCTCCTGGCCACAGCCAGCTCTGGACTTAGCCCTGCTCATGGGCACAATCCTAGACGTGGGAGTCAGGCATGTGGTGTAGACCCCAGCCAGCACTGCTCCGGGTCCTGGGAACAGCCACACTGTGAGAGTGGGGTGCCTGGCTTGTAGCTGGAAAGGCCCCGCAGGGGCAGCCAGCCTGGACACTGAGTGAGACGCTGCCCCTGACATCGACCTGGGCCAACCTCCTGGAGCACGCAGGGACCCATGGCCTGATTCACAGTTCTGTAAATGCCTGTCATCCCAGCACAAAGGAAGCTGAGGCAGGAGGATCACTGGACTTCGAAGCCAGGCTGGGCTACAGAGTGAGACCCTGCACAGCCCTCCCCCATGCAAATCCCCTGCAGGGCAGACGCTGGCCACACCAGAACCCGAGATGGAGCACACAGCAGCAGGCTGTCCCCAAACCCCACCACCGGCTGGGATCTGCCCACCCTGGGCTCTGGCCCCAAGTGCTTCGGTCTTGTTCACCCCACAGCCAGGAAAACCCTGGGAAGCCAGTGACACCGGACCCCAGACCCCCCACAGGCCCAGCGCTGATAAAACTCCCCCTGTCCTCCCAGCTCAGATCAGTCGCGAAGAGTTATATTGGGAAAGGCCGGGCAGACTCATTTCTTCTCCATGTTTGGCACTGCTGGGGCCGCAGGGTCAGAGTCACCCAGCAGCCGCGTGCCCTGCGGGGGGCAGTGTTGGCCTTCGGTGTGCATTGCCGTCCCCCACTGGGCACCCCAGGCCAGGCCCCCACAGCGGCCGAAGCAGCTCAGGGAGGAGCCGAAGGTACGTGGAAGCCACCCTACAGGGATACAGGAGTGTGCCCTGGCCCCCCAAAAACTCCTCTCCACACCTCCGAGACACGCAGCCACCAAAGAAGCGCCAGAGGAGCTGGGGAAGGGGCTTCCTCCAGGAGCTGCCGGACAGTCCAGCCCTGAGCCCGCCGCTTGCTGGCGGCTGCCCACAGGTCTCCAGGGTTTCTGCTATTGTTCCGACCTCAAGGACGAGCTCTGCAGAGAGCCCTTGAGTCCAGAGCTCTCTGCACAGGGGAAGGAAGGCACCCAGACAGACGCAGAGACCTGGCCCAGGCCTGACCCCCCCACCCCCCACCCCCCCCGTGTGGCTGGACACGGCAGCAGCTTTTCTGGTGGCCAAGGCACCAACTCCCTCCGTCCCCACCTCCCTGCAGGACAGCCCCCGAGCTGCTTCTCTAGTGTCGAGAAATACTTGACTCTCAAACTGCAAGTGGTGGCGCACGCTGTAATACCAGCACTTGGAAGGCTGAGGCAGGAGGATTGCTGAGAGTTTGAAGCCAGCCTGGGCTATATAGCAAGACCCTGTCTCAAAAATCTGAAAGAAAGAAAGAAAGAAAGAAAGAAAGAAAGAAAGAAAGAAAAGAAAGAGAAAGGGCAAGCTGGCAGTCCTGTCCTGCACGTACAGCTGTGTGTCCTTAGACAAATACCTCACTCACTCTGAGCTGTTTCCCAGCTCTAAGTGCCTGCCTCTGGAGTCACGGAGGTAAAGCAGCTCCCAGCCAGAGCTCAGCCAGGAGAGACCTCGTCATCCCCCTAAGTGGCCTCCCAGAGATCCCAGTCCAGCCTTTCTACCTGGGGCACCCAGCGCGCCTCCCACCTGCTGAGGTTGCCGGCTCTGTTCCACAGCTCAGGGTTTCTGCAAAGCCCCTGAGGGAAACCCGAGGCTCTGCTGCTCTGGTTCAGGAGGAGCAGATATCAGGAGGCAGGCATGGCGGGGGTGGAGGGGAAGGCAGAGCAGAGCTGAGGAGTGGGTCCTGTGAGTGTGGGTCTGGGTCAGGAGGGCGTGGCCAGGGAGCGCAAGGTGCCCCAGCCCTGGGAGGTGCACAGTGTAATTCCCTTGGGGGCCCTTGGGACTCCCTGTCTACTGCTGGTGCCCAGTCGCTGTCTGCCTGATGGCGCCCAGTCGCTGTCTGCCTGATGGCACAGGGGAGGCTCCTGCGGCCCCTCCAGGTCTCCCCCTGCCTGTCCCTCCTCCGGGATCTCGGAAGCGTGGGGATCGGCTCATCCCTGCACCCCTCATGGAGAAGGCCTGGCCTGACCACCGACTTGCTAGACCACAGGACCTTGAGGTGACCTCCTCTGACCCTCCGTTTCCTCCTCTGTGCAGAGCCGACGAGGCCCCAGGTGGATGTGGGAAGCAGGGGTGCCTGGCACCCTGAGCCCCTGAGCACCGAGGCGGGGAGGGCGTGTGCCGGTACCTACCCTCCTGGGAGTCCAGCTCCCGAGGGCTGCCCTCGGAGGCTCAGCCGGTAGCTCTGAGCCATCTCCCGCAGGCTCTCTGCCGAGTACAGGCCAATGGGGGTGTTATACTGCCTTGGCTGGCCCGGGGTCCCCGGGAGTCCCGGGCCCCGTGGGTTCCTTGTCCCCTCCGGGGTGGCCCGCGGAGGGCCGGGGTCCAAGGCCTCCATGTGTGTGGAGCAGACAGAGGTCTGGGAGAAGGAGGAGCTAAGGGCACCCCTGAGCTCCAGGGTACCCAGGGTGCCTGGGCCGGCCCTTGTCTTGGGGCTGAGGCTGGGTGCCACCAGGCTGCCGTTGGTGTCCAGAGCGGGCTCCTGGCCCACAGCAGCGCCATGCAGGGAGAGAGAAGACAGGTTAGAGCCGCAGCGCCCAGCGCTTCTGCCCAGACTGGGAACCCGTGTTAGTGCAGCCTACAGGCCCTGCCCTCCACCTGCAGCCCCGGGCATGGAAGGAAAGGCTTTGTGGGGAATGGGGACTTGGGTCCCCACAGAGGCCGGCACCCACTGGGACAGAAGGCAAAGCTCTGAGCGCAAAGCCAAGCCGAGGCTGTTCCCCAAGAGTGGGCGTGGAGCTCGGGGCATGGCGGGGCCCCACCATCCAGTACACACAGAGACCCCACACTAAGAAGCTCCGGCATGGCAGAGGGGTACAGGAAAGCCAAAGGTGGCCCAGGGTCCCCTCTGCGGCCTCGAAGTCTGTGACCTCCTGGGGACCAGGCAGGGTGAGGCAGGTGGCAGGAGGGGCAGGGCCACTGGCCCCAAGCCCACGGGTTGAGGCATTCAGAGGAGGTCAGGTGGGGTCCCCAGGCGAGGTCTCTGGGGCCAGTGCTCTGCAGTGCCCCATGCCCAACTCTAAGGCCAACAAGTGCTTCCAAGGAGCAGCTGGTGTACAGGGGAGGAGAGGTGCGCCCTAGGCCCCCTCTGCCAGGCAGTGGCCCCTCGGTGCCTGGCTCAAACCGGGGGTCTGCCACAGTTACCCCCACCTCGGTGTCCTTAGGCAGACGAGGGCTGGGCTGTCTGGACAGCTGTCCCCTGCCTGGCCAGAAGGACCAGGAAGGACACAGCTACCCTGGCTGGTTTCCCAGCACCCTGGTGGTGGGCAGGAATGCCCACATCTCAGGGTGTCCCGGGGCCCAAAGGGGACAGTCGGCACCTACCTTCTGGTGGGGGATCACCGGCAGCGGGGACTGGACTGGAGGTGCTGCTGTAGAGACAGTTATGGGGCGCTTGGACCTGGGAGAACCGGAAATGGGGTGCAGTGAGGAGTCAGGCCCAGGATGGGCGCCCACCGGGTGAGGCTGGCAGGGGAGGAGAGCGGGGAAGCCAGGCCGGGGTACACGTGCTGGGGCTCCCAGGGAGCACCTGGGCCCTGGGCACTTTGGTCAGGACCGCCCTCCCTTGGCCCCATCTGCCACACGGGCAGGGGTGTATTGATTTCCTTCCTGCCGGGGCAACCTCCCCATGCACCCCCGGCCCTGCGCCCACTCCGCAGGGAGGCCACCTACTTCTGCAGGGTGAGGCTCAGGTTGTAGCTGGCGGACTTGATCTTATTCTGGGCCTCCAGGTGGGTCATGGTGTCTGTGCTGACGCCATCGATGGCCACCACCAGGTCACCTTGGCTGAGCTGGGACTGGGCCGCCTTGCTGCCAGGGGTGATCTGCGTGGACAGAGGAAGGGAGTGAGCCGAGGTCCCGGTCCCCAGTGGAGAGTCTCCGGAGCATCTGGTCTCCTGTGTCCCCCAGTGCACCGCCTCACATTCCTGGGGCCAGTTTCTTTGCTTTAGGCCTGGCTCTGGCCAGTGGAAAGAGGTGGAGGAATTGCACACCACTCCCAGGGCAGCTCCCAGTGACCATCCTCGGGACACTGGTCCCTGCTGGCTAAAGGCCTAATGCTGAGAACAGAGGAGTCGGCCAAGCTGCTGGCTGCAAGGGCCTGGGACCTGGAACCTGTTGTCTGGAGGAGCAATGGCTAAGGAGCCCTGCATGGCATGGTGCACAAGCAGCAAACTTCCACCATGAGGAACCAGCTGATGAGGTTTGGGGCTGTTTGTTACACGGCTTAGCACGCTGTGGCACCCTGCAATTTCACAAGAGTTCTGTGGCCCAAGAGAGAAGGAGACACTGGGGCTAAGACACAGCATCTCCTAACACCAGAATTTCTTCCAGGCCAGCAGGCAGACAATGCACCCACACAAAGGCATCCATGCCAGCTGCTTTGAGCGCAGCAGCAGCACCAGCCCTGCCTGAGAGGGAGGGGAAGGTTGGCATGGAGACAGAGAGAGGCTGGGTTCTCTGAGAGTCTCCTGATGGTCTCAGGGAGTGTAGGCCATCATAGAGTCCAGTGTGACTACACAGAGGTCACTGAGATTCCATCTGGGAACACCCAGTGTCAGGCGAGCTGTCATGCCCGGGACATCACTTGGGAGGCCAGGGTGGCTCTGACAGCTCTGCCAGAACAGCCTGCACGATGCCACATGTCCCATGCCTGCCCCCCCCCCAAACAGGTTATTGGGGCTGAGGCTTGGTTCAGCTCCCTGGAGGGTGAGCCCCACTCCCAAAGGGACCTCATGGGGCATTGTGGAGACCAGGTCTGCTACACAGTGGCCCTTGTCACTCAGAATGACTTTGGGGCCTGCCTCCCCTGGTGCCAGGCTGGAAGACCCCCACCATGGTGAGGGGCCCACACCAGTCATAGGAGAGCAGGCCCTGTGGGCTCCGAACCAGCCAGGGCCTCAGGGTGACCTTGGCTCTGGCTCCCATCACACCTGCAGGCTTCTCCTGGCTGCTTGGGGACATCACAGTCACGTCCTGGCTGGGGCCAAGGCCAGCTCCTCGAGCTGGCAGAAGCTGGGTTCTGGCTACGGTCTGGGGACGATCCTCGAAGGCACCCGGAGAGGACCTGGGGACGGTCCCACGTCCATGTGCCGGGTGGGCAGGGCCTCCAGCCAGGAGTGGGCTTTCAGACATAAACAGTGGCCTCCCACCAGGCCCCTTGCAAGGAGTCCCGGAACCCCAGCTCACCCCGGGGACACTGCCTCACATGACCTGAGTGGTGACCAGAGGATGCTCCCTGGCCAGTTGCTGGTGGCCCACCTCTGCGGCCCTAGGTGCCTCCTTAAATATTGGGCAGCTTGGGCCCAGAGCGCCCCCCTACCAACCCCCAATGCTGGCCGGAGAGCCATGTCCATGTGCTCAGGCAGCTTGGGTGGAGGCCCACGGGGTGGCTGCCCCTCCATGCGTCCATCTCTCCAAATCCAGTGCCGCTGGGAGCTCCCACACACAGAGGCAGAACAGAGGGTGAACCCCAGTGCGGAAGAAAAGCAAAGCACTTCCTCGTCCGAGGCGGCTCACGGGAGCAGGCTCGGCCCCTTGCCCTCTGGCTTCCCAAGGGGGCTATGCGTGCCCATCGGCCCAGCCCAGATGGCTGTGGGTGCCCAAGGCTGCAGCCATGCTCCGTGAAGCCCCCAGGTACCCACCGCCTGGCTTTATCACACGTCAACCCCTGGGTCCCGCTCTCCACTCCTCGATCCATTCTATTTGTTCAGTTTTTTGACAGCAAGAACTAAGTAGTCCAGACTGGCCTTGAATTACTATGCAGCCCACCCTGGCCTCAAGCTCCTGGTGATCCTCCTGCCTCAGCCTCCTGGTGTGCCCCTCTGTGCCCATTTGTGCTGCTCTTTCAAAGCAAGCTGTGACAAGCTAGGTCCTCCAACGCCTGTGCCGACCTAGGGTCTGCCTCCTCCTCAGGGTACCCCACTGCAGCACATCCTCAGGGAAGGACCCCCACCCCATGCGCCTTGGGGTGCCCCTGACAATCTGCGGGAAGAGGCAGCAGAAAGCCTGGCTGGGGGACAGCAGCTGCAGGTCTCACACGGGAGGTGGCACCTGCAGGGCCCAGGGGCCCTGGCAGGAGCACAGGGACAGCAGGAGCCAGGGCACCTGAACGATCTGAGCGTGATCCTTCGGGGCGCCCCCTGGAGGCCGCCCGGGACACTTCCGCAGCAGGCAGGCAGGGCCCACTCGCAGGGCTGGACCCCAGCAGCCAGGGCTCCGCCTCCCGGGCCTGGGCAGTGGCCAGACACCCCAGAGGGGAGCTGCCGGGCTCCTGCAGCCCCGGCGCCACTCTTCCTGCACCTGCGCCCGCCCATCAGGGCGCAGCTGGCCTGGCCTTTGGCTACCCCGCGTCCCGGGGTGGGGAGCCGCTCTTGTGTCCTGCCAGGGGCCCTTGGAGCGCAGGAGGAGGGAGCCAGGGGCCTAGGGGCCGCCCAGGGCCACCCTCTCCCCTCCCCCACGGCGGAGCAGCCTGCTCTGGCCTGGAGCGGGGGCAGCGCCCCTATGGCTGGCCAGCGCCAGCGGGCTCCTGGGTCTCCTGTCTGTCTGTCCTCCCCTCTCTCTGCTGACACTATCCAAAAAAACCTCAATGCACCCAAGTCCTCACAGTTTCATTTGTTTGATTGTTTCTTAAGAAAAGAAGGTCTTTCTGCTAACTTTGTATTCCCAGCACTCTGGGAGGCTGAGGCAGGAGGATCAAAAGTTCAAGCCTGGCCAGGGCAACTTAGTGATTTAGCAAGATCCAGTCTCAAAAAATAAAAAGGCTCCCTTCTCTGGCCTTCTCCCTTCCTTCAGCTAGTCTAGCTGGTCTGGCACGGAAGGAACTAGTTCTACTTTCTGTGTACTAAACATTCGAGGTTTCATTTTTAAAGCCAGAATTACAGCTGACACTGGGCATTTCAGCAGAGGGACCGTTTCCGATGGAAATGTGCTGTTAAAGTCTGTTTTAATGAAACTATATTAAAGATTAAATAAAGCATGTCAACAGGTATCAGACTATGAGGAATTGAGAAGGGATCAACTAAGATAGTCTTCCTTAAAAAGAAGTGGAAAAGGTGGGGTGCCAAGGCCTGGGTTCAATCTCCCAGTGCCACAAAAGCAAACAAACCTCCCTCCTGCCTGCCTTGGGGCGGGAAGATACTCTGGGAAGGGCAGCTCCCACCTCATTTCCAGTTTCTCCTCCTGACCCCGGCCCTAGGCGGAGGCCGGAGAGGGCCCTGATGCACGCATGGGGTGTTGAGAAGCCAGCGTCCCCTTGCCCTGCTGGGCCACTGTCCAGGGCACCTTTGAGGGTGACATAGGGCTGCTAGCAGGGCCACTGCGTGTGCCCAGGAGAGGATTTTGGACCAAGCACCCCGGTAGAGGTCCAGGAAACTTCCCCCGGGATTGCATGTGTGGAACAGGGCCCAGCTCGGAGCTGGGAACTTTTGGGGCGCCTCTCCACCAAGGAAACTCGGATGCCCGACTGGCCAGGAACAAGATGCCATGCAGGGCGGCGGCAGCCCCACAGGACTTTCCAGCAGATGGCAAGCCAGGCGGATGTTACACACCTGTCATCCCAGGACTAGGGAGGCTGAGGCAGGAGAAGCACCATCAGTCTGAGGGCAGCCAGGGCTACAGAGTGAGACCTTGTCTCAAACAACCAAAACAGAGAAGGAAGCAGGCAGGCCCTACCTCCTCCTCTGCTGGGTTTGCCTGGGGTGGCGGGCCCTGGGAGGGCAGGTAGCTCCCCCAAGGAGAGGGCTCTCTGTCACCCCCCTGTTGGTCCCCTGGTGAAAGGCAGGTGATTAAATTACCATCAGGCCAAGCCTGTTCCCTTCCCATCTGGCCTCCCCTGGGGCGCGGCCCTTGGCCCCACAACTCTGTCCCCCAGGCCCGAGAGTAAGTGGGGGTCCCTTCCATGCCCCCTCATCTGCTCCAGCTGTGTCTTTTCTCTCCCTTCCCCACCCCCAGTGGCCCCAGGACCTGTGGGTCACTATGACCCCACTCCCCACACGCACCAGTCACCCCCCCCCTTCATTCAAAGCCTGGTCACTGCCGGGACCACACACGGCCTCTCTGCCTTTCCAGGCCTGACTACTGTCCTTCCTGTACCCCTCCTGGCTTGGCCACCATTCTATCAGCCTCCTGGGCATGGACAGTGAGATGCCCCCTGTGCACCTGCCCCAGCTGGCCGTAGGGGTGGGGGAGCCAGCAAAGCCCCATCACACTTCCCAGGAGGTCCCCGAGGGTAGAGATGGCCTCCAGCTGCCCTGCCCTCCCCCCAGGACCTGATGTCCACTCTGCATGCTGAGCAACAGGGAGGACTGGCTGGAGGATGCGGGCTCAGCTACACTTCCCCTCCTCCCCGTGGAGTCCTGGCGGCTGCCGCAGGCTCATGGCCCTCCTGGCTATAAACAGGCGCCTGTCAGCACCTCGGGGGCGCTCCTGTGGCCTAGAGATTCCAAGAATTGCCAGCACAGCACCCAGAATAGCCAGCCTGTCCCCCTCATTCTCCTGGGGACCCTCTGTTCTCAGCACCTTAGCAGAGAGTGTCTCCTAAGTACTGAAACCGAAACCAGAAACAGGGCAGAGGCCCTGGCTGCCAGGTGGGCTGGGCGAGGCCAGGGGCTGAGGTCCAGCCACCAGTCTGCTCTCCCACACGTCTGCTCTCCTACACGCCCCTATTTCACAGGCAGGAAAACAGGCCAGCTGAGAGTGCCTGAATGCACATGCACGCCCCTTCCCTCAGGTTGGGGAGCCCCAGACCCTCCTGCCTGTGGGGCGGGCGCTGGGCCTTTGAGCAACTCCCTGCCCCCACGCCCTCCTGGATCCTCAGTGAAGGAGAGAGGGCAGCTCAGGTTGCAGCCCTAGCACCTGTCCAGGATAAATAAAGGCATTATCCCCCCCCCCCCAGCCTCCCCATCGCCCGCTACAGGGCGGCCCACAGGGGCTGCCACCAGCCCCTGGCAGCCTGGAGACAGAGCCTGCAGGGGACAGGCACAGGTAGCATGGCAGCCACACCTGCAGCCTCCACAGGTCAGCTTCTCCAGTCCCCTCTGGCCACGGGACACTCTTTGCTCTGTCCCTCACGTCTGGAACTCCAGCCCCTGCTGTCGAGGCCAGGTGACGAGGGAAAGTGCCCATGGATGCTGAGCACCATCCAAAAGCCACTGAGAGCACCAGATCGTAGCTAAGGAGGCGGGGGGGGGGCGGTGTCTGGACCTGCATCTCCTGTGGGAGGTTGTGACACAAAGGGCTCTGCCTCCCTCCTGGGCAGAGAATGCCACCATGCAGGTGTCCCCAGGGGCGGCCCGAGGCCAAGCAATCCACGGCCCTCGGTGGCATTTTCTAAGAGACATCAGGTCCTGGGGAGGACTCCAGCAGCCAGGCCACCACACTGCCTGGCCCAGGTGACTCTGGTGTGCCCCCGAGGAAGCCATGCCCGTGCTCGTGCCCGTGCCCTGCCCGGGTTCTATTTTTGAAAGTCCTCCAAGTCTCTGCCGAGGCACATCTCAGCACACCCCTCCCCGAGCGGGGACATTCTTCTGCTGCCTCGCTTAAGGCCTCTGTGCTGCCATTTAAGCCCCTGGCCATCCGGAGCCAGGTGGCACATAGGTCCCGGGTGAGGTCATTGGCTATCCTGAGTGCCACCGAGCCAGGATGGGGTTGGCAGTGGGCCTCGAGGACAGTGGGGCCAGGGGACAAGGCGCAGCTCCAGGTGTGGCACCGAGGGCCGGGGAGACTGCGTAGGAGGCCCCACTTCCTACAGGAAGACCTGCTTGGGGGTAGGAGTGGGCATCATGCTGAAATGCCCATATGTCACCCATCAAGGAGGGGATGCAGGCTCAGGAGTCCTCTTCAGGACACTGTGGGCACTAGGTGTGATGGAAGAGGCAGTGCCAGGTCCCACATGAAGGTGGAGGGACTCCGTGGCCAGCCTCAGGCTGCTGGACACCCACAGTCTTCCATTCTCAACTGTCCCAGTGCCCGTGACAGTTCCCAAAGCCAAGACAACTCTGCACTGGGGACCCTGGCCAGGCATCTCCTGGGCCTCCCCACTGCCCGCTGCTGTTCCTGGCTATACAAGCCTCTGCAGCTCTGGGGAAGAAAGTTTCCCCATGTGGGCAGCAGCCTAGGCACCTCCAGCTGCAGCCTGGACCTTGGCTGCCACCTCCTGCCCCATCGGTACTATCCAGGGCTCAGGGCCATTCCCAGCCTCGCACACTTTGCTGGGCTTCAGGCCTTGGAATCGGTGCAGAGTGGGCACCTGCTGCATTCCGGGCAGTGCCCTGCTCCCTTTGTCTCAGGTAAGCCTGGCTTCTGGCCTCTCCAGGTGTCCATGCATCAGGTGACAGCAGCAGTCCCCCTGAGCCCCGATGACTACGCCCTCAGCCAATCTCTTCCCACCAGGCACCACAGCATCCAGAGAGGAGAGACCTCGGCCAGATCAGGGAGCTAAGAGCCCCAGCTGGCCCCAGCCTGTGAGCTGGTCAGCGCAGGACCCTGATGGGCCCAGGGCTCCAGGGAGCAGAGGGGCAGGTGGAGGGGGCCAGTCACCAGCTCAGCTGGCCTCACCAGGACAGCAGGGCTGCCGTCTGTCTGACCACCCACACATCCATCTGCCCATCACCTGCCCTGTGTGTGCCAGGGATGATACTTTCCCAAAGCACCTGCTTGGGTCCAAGGGGGACGCTAACCTTTGGCAGCCCGAGCATGCCCTCCCGGGAACAGGCTTAGGAGGGCGCTGCCCGGCCTGTCCACCCGCCTGCCTGCTCTGCAAGCTCAGCGTTTCCCACTCAGCTCAAAACATCCACCCCTGATACCCGGCCTTGCCCCAGGGCATCAGATGGGCAAATGCAGCTATGGGCAAGACCAGGGTGCTAGTTCAATGCCGGCCCTCAGCCAGGCCTGTGTGTGCCTGTGGGTGAGTGTCCCCACAGGGGATGGACACCCGCACACGCCCCTTTCCCAGCAGCCCGGCCCCAGGCCCCAGGCTTCGGGCGCAGCACACTCACCCGAGAGATGGTGAGGGGCATATTGAAGTCCTTGCCCCCCTGGAGCCGGAAGCCCCAGGGTCCAGGCCCGGTCAGGGTCACGCTATAAGACATGCTGGTGCTGACAGCGGCCGCCTCTGGGGACAGAGTCGGGAGAGTTAGGACTCTCACACACCCACCGCCCAGCCCCTGTCCCACTGCCGCCCCCGGCCCCAAACCTGGCCTTGCCTGCTGTCTCCCTCTCTCCCCGCGGGGCTGTGTGGAGCCGCCGGCAGGCGCCTAAGAATAGCAGGAGTGAATGCCATGGACGCAGATATCTGCCCTTGCTGCGCCCATAAATGGACTGTAACCCTACACTGTGCCCGCCCGCCCCGTGGCCACCGTGACTCACGCAGCTAATATAGCCCCTGGGGAGGGGTGCAGGGCACCCCAGCAGGAAGGGAGGCCTGGCCAGGTAACCCCCTGCCCTCTGTGGAGCCCCTGCGTCCTGACACCCTGCTTTGCTTCTGCAGACCAAAGGCTAAGCTCCCTCAGGCAGGGGTCTTGCTGCCCTTTGGGCCCCAGGCCAGGACGCTGAGCTCAGATTGTCCATTGCGGAACCCGCACGGTGCCTCTAGCAGGTCCGGAAAAAGCTTCAGCACAGAAGATCACCGACAGACCCTTGGTTGTCCAACCGTAAAAATAATCACGTACACTCTGGGAGGCTGAGGCAGGAGGATCTCGAGTTCAAGTCCAGCCTCAGCCATATAGTCACAGCCTGTCTCAAAATGAAAAATAACATGGGCTGGGCATGGTGGCTCCTTAATCCCAGTACTCAGGAAGCTGAGGCAGGAAGATTGCCAAGAGTTTAAGGCCAGCCTGGGGTACACAGTGAGTTCAAGGTCACCCTGAACTCCAGAGTGAGACCTACACACACACACACACACACACACACACAGAGGCTGGGAATGGCTCACTGTTAGAGCACTCCCCCTGCAGGAAGGGGTCTGGATGCTAAATAAGAAAAAAACACTGAGGATGTAATTCAGTGTGAAGGTACTGAGTTCAAACCCCAGTATGGCTCAAGAAAGTCACAGGGCCCTGGGGCCAGGTTCAGAGAGATTAAACGGCTCCTCCGAGGTCACACAGAGAGTGGATCACCGAGCTGGAGCCATTCCAGTGGGACTCCTGACAGAGGATGGGGTCCCAGCAGCTGCAGGCCCCCCACGTGCCTGGGCGCAGAGTCTGAAGGCGGGTCTGGGGGCGCCCCCCCCAGCCCGGCTGGTTATTCCTGGCTCTTCTGTCTCATCTGTGCCCTGGAAAACCTGACAGTAGCATGGAAAGCTGTGGCGGCCAGGGCTGACGCCAGGCTCGTGCCCTTTGCACAGGAATGGCGGGGGGGCACCATTCTCCTAGCCGCCAGGGCCCCGGGCAGAGGCACAAGAGGCTCATCCAGCCCAGAGCCCCTGGGGACCCCTGCAGTGTGGGCTCTGGGTCAAGGCGTCCCACGCGACACCACAGCCCCCAGTGCGGGACGCGGACTGAGATCAAGGCATGGGGCGTCTCCTAGGCTGAGAAACTGAGGCTCACGGAAGTGGAACGGGCCCAGCCTCATAGGGGGCCTGTCACACATGACACGCATGCAGGGCGCCCAAGCTCCTGGGCCGCTTGGTCATTTGCCCGTGGTCACAAAAATAGCAGATGGAAGAAGCCAGGCGGGGACCTGTGTTCCTCCCCCCACGTCACGACACCACCTCCTCTGCCCTGTGAGACACAGGCCCACCTGTTGCGGCCAGGAGGCCAGCACCCCATCCTTGTCTCCCACCTCTTTCTGTGTGCCCCCCAAAGCTCCCTGCTATCTGTCCCTAACTCTAGGGTCTCCACCTGCCCAGGTGGGGAGCAGGGCATGACCACCGTGGGACAGGAAGGAGCCGGCCTGCCGGAGGCTGATACGGACAGCCGGACAGCCGCTGTCACTGGAGCCTGCGTGGCGGGGTGCCTTTGGCCTCTGGGGAAACTGGGAAGGGCCCGGATGCTCTTCAAGGCGAAGGCCAGCCTCCCTCCTCTGCCTCCGAGGGCAGGCACGAGCCAGCTGGACAACAGCTGGTGCCAGGGTGGGCGGGGCTCAGAGCCCCTGGGGAGCGGGGCTGGGACACCCCAAGTCTTGTGCCCCAGCTCCTCTGCAACCTCACAGTTGGTGATGGGCCTTCGGGTGTACGAGCCCCAAGAAAGGGGGACAGATGCCTCGAGAGCGCTGAGGCCCGGTCCAGGGCTTCCTCTCCTCTCCTTCACAGCCCTGACATCAACACCAAGGCGGTCAACATCTCTGCTTTTTATTTCCTACCCTGCCACAGTGCTGCAGCTCAGGGCAAACCAAGGCCGCTGCCGAGACCATACCAGGGGCTCGGCGAGCATGCAGATGGGTACCCGGGCATTTCGTGCGCATGCAGGTGTGGGCCACTGGGGATGGCGCGAGTGGGGTCAGCACACAGGAGGCTGTGCCAGTGGGAAGTGCAGCGCTGTCCCTCCCCGGAGCGTCCTGGAGCCAGTGTTTGCAGAAGCAGCAGCCGCTGGTGGAGGCCTACAGAGCTGGGACTGAGGCTGCAGGCCACACCCATGGGCAGGACCTCTGCAGTGTGAGGTGGAATTCAGGGCTGGAGTTGGGATTCCAGAGCAGCTGGGGGAGGGGGTGTACAAAGCCTGCAGGCTGGTGGGGTGGGGGCACATGAGGGGCCAGACATGTCCTAGGCAGAAGGGAGGACCAGCCGGCGTCCTACATCTGGGGGTCCAGGCAGGTGAGCTGTCCCTTGGTCTGAAAACAAACAGCACATGTCTACTCATCCAGGAGCACCGGCTGCCGGTGGTCCTTGGCATTCGGGTGACAGGGACACGAGGGGGCCACACAGAAGGACCAGGATGCTGCAGGTCAGGGCTGGCCTTCCTGGGGAGCCAATCTTGAAGTCAATGGCCCAGGGCCAGTGTCCTCAGGGTCCAGTACTGGGTACTCTCTCCTCCTGCTCCTCTGTACTTCGTGGGCTCCAGTGACCTCTCTCAGCCTCCCTGCCATGCCCAGCCTCTCCTTGTGCCCTCTGTGCCACCAACTTCCCCTGGTGGCTTCTCCCTGCAGGCTCACCTGGCTCAACAACCCCTGCCCAGACACCAAGGAAAGCCCCAGCAGTGCTGCGAGCTGTCCTGACTGACCCCAGGACAGACACCTTGACATTCATCATTGTCTGCCAGGGGTCACAGCCTAGGGTCACTGCCGGGTTTCCACCCTGGCCCCTGTGGCTGTGCATAGGGTCCAGGCCCCAGGATGGGGTGCAGTGTTGGGGTAAGGAGTACTGGAGGAGACAGGGGCTCCCCCTTCGTGGATGCCTAGAGCAGCGGCCCAGAGCAGGGAAGGCGGGATGGAGTTGTGGCTCGGGCTGGCCAGGGAAGCCCCAGCATGCCCAGTGACCGGACGGGAGGATTGTGCGCAGGGTAGGTGAGCAGAGGGCGGGGGAGCTGTCAGCAGGGTGGGGGCCCGGCCAGACAAACGCCATCTCCCGCGTTCCAGAACCTGGCTTCTCTAACCGCCATTGGCATTCCGTTCCATAGGCACTTGGGCTGACAGCTGGCCTTCTTTTAATAGCCACAAGTGTTCTGGTGACATCTTGTTCTCAGGGTGTCCGTGGCCTGCAGTCCCTCCCCCAGAGAGGTCCAGCCCTGGGGTCATACAGCAAGAGCCCCACATCCACACATGGGCACATGCTCAGCACAGAGCAGACACCCTGGCATCTGTCATGCGTCTTGGGGCATCACAGTGACAGAGGACGTGCACCAGACACCGTCACACACATCCACACGTTGTGTTCTGTGGCTTCCAATCACAAACCTTCATGAATGCACACATGTACGCACACACCGTGCAGCAGTCCCTGCACACACAGCCCCGGCACGCCTGGCCACACTCAGACACAGCCAAGAACAGCCCCAGGCTTGGCAGGGACCCAGGGAGTCCCAGAGGCCTCAGCCGGCTCACCACAGCCAGCCTCTACTGGCCCTGTGCCCACCCCTTTGCAAACTGGCAGGTGCCTGGCCCAATCACCTTTCCGGGAGTCCCGGCTCCCCATACTCGGGCCTTGGGAGGGGCCCTGGCTTCCCAGTCCTCCAGCACCAGATCATAGGGGGACTGTCCACTTCCTTGCTGGGCAGCCCCCCATGCCTCGGTGTCTGTCCAGCCCTGGGGGAGGCAGGAGAGCTTTTGTGAGGTGTGGGGCAGCCTGAGGCACTCCCCGCACCCCAGCCCCCACTGCAAGCCTTTTTCTGGCTCCCACTGGCATTCAGGTGGGGAGGCTCAGGACACTTTGCTCCAGGCTGTGGTCACCAATCCCAGCAAGCGATGCCTGCAGGGGCCGGGCTTATATGTATCTTCGTGTGAGTGTTTAGCTTAGACCACTTTGCCAAGTGGTCTTCTGCAAGGTCTAGGTTGTGTTAGCAGATGAGAGGATTGGGGTGTAACCAGCACTTGCCTAGCGGGTTCTAGGTCCTGGGTCCCATTGCCGCCCCCGCTAAAAAAGCAATGTACTTTAGCTGGGTGTGATGGCACACACTTTAATCCCAGGACTTGGGAGGCTGAGGCGGGAAGATCTCCAAGTTGAAGGCCAACATGAGCTACATAGGGAGACTATCTCAAAACACAAAAGAAAACAAAACAGACCAGGTTGGGCTGGGGATTTAGCTCAGTGGCATAAGCGCCTGTCTGGTAAGTGTGAGGTCCTGAGTTCAGTCTCCTCAATTTTCACTACAATGGTTCAGGGAAGGGATCCTACCCACTCTGACCCAGCCGCTCAGCGGAGCCCCCTGGAGTGGGGGCAGAGGAAGGCAACACTGTCTACAGGAGCTTCTGTTGGGGCCCGCAAAAGCCCCTCTAGCCTGAAGGAGAGAGGAGCCTGACTGTGGCACCACATGAGCTGGGATGCAGGGGCCACTCCTGGGGACGTTTGGGGGCCACTGTTCCGGCCGTGGGGTGCTGACACCAACAGTGGGGGCCACAGAGGCCAGGGCTCGGGAGGTGACGGGAGCTCCTCCCCTGCAGCCTGCTCTCAGTGTTCCCAGGGGCAGGGGCATGGTGCTGAGACTCCCGGTACCTGGTTGCCCATTGGCATCAAAAGCGCTAATCTCTTTCATCTGTGCCTCTGAGGGCTGTGGTGCCATAGAGAAAGGTGACCTGGGACTGCAAGACCCACCGGAAGCTGAAGGGGCACACAGGAAGTCGGAGGGGCCGCGGGCTGGGGCAGGTGTGTGCCCGTGTCCTTACCACCTCGCTCTCAGAGCCCAGGGACTCCTGGCGCCTGCGTCCCGAGATCCAGCTGAGGTCGGAGGCCTGGCTGCTCAGTGTGGAGCGGTGCGTGGAGCGGTACCTGAGGGAGGGGCGGCCGTGCTGGCCGGACACGCCCAGCAGCACGCCCAGGCAGGGCAGGTGCTGCACGATGGCTGCCCTGCAGGGCCACAGTCTGATGAGGGCCAAGAACAGGGACGGGACACACAGCCGATCCCAGGGGAAGTGGGCTGGCGGGTTTGAGCATTGCCGGATAGAGACAGGGCCCAGGAGGGGCAGTGGGGCAGAGCCTTGGGGTGGCAGGTCGGGGAGGCGAGGGGGACCAGGGGGCCCCCAAAGGCCACCAGGGCCACGGCAGAGTCGGGCACCCAGGACAGGACAAAGAGCAAGATGACCATCTCAGGGACACCCCTGGGCTCTCTAGCTGGGCCAGCGCAGCCCTGCAGCTGGCTTCGAGAAGTGGTGAGTGACAGACACCATGAAGAGGCGCCGGCTGGGCTTCTTATCAGCCAGGCATGCAGAGGCCACAGGAGCCCTGGACCTGCCAGGACCCTGGAGGTCAGGTCCTGTGTCCCTGCCGGGTCTCCCCAGGACACCGTGGGCTGAGGGTTTCTCCATGTAGGGCAGAATGGCCGATCAGAGACCCTGGCTGCCTCTCGACTCACCTCAGAGACCCCGTAATTAGAATGGGACTCTGCTGTTAGCCCTGAGACCCTTCAAACAGAGCCACCCCGCCCTGCCCGACCCCCACCAACCCAAGATGGGCAGATGCCAACCCTCCCTGCAGGCCCAGCCCCCCATGCCCAGGGGCCTGGAGGGGGCCACACCTGTACTTGGGGTGCGTGATGGCATAAATGATGGGGTTGTGGATGGCAGAAGCCTTGGCGATGACGGCGGGCACGGAGTTCATGTAGGGCGTCAGCATATGCGCATACCTAGACGGAGGAGGCACAGGCTCCCCATCCCTGCCTCGGACCCAGACTCTAGCCCAGCCGGGCAGCCTGGCCTGCTACAGGCCTGGCAGTGCCAGGAGAATTCTGGGCCGTGGTGGGGGCGGGAGGCTGTGGATGGGGCTTTGCAGAGAAGACTGCAGGTTTAGGCAGGGTCTCCAGGTCCCTTCCGGTGACACCCCGACCTTAGGTGTCTACCCAGCTCTCCCTAACACACCCCCACTGCACCGCTGCTCCCTGCCTGCCTGCCCTCTTGGCACCCAGACAAGAAGGCCGCCTCGGCTCTGTGGCTCTGCAGAGCCCTTCCAGAGGCCAGGCTCCGTCCAGGCCCACCAAGTCCCCAGGTCTCAGTGCAGAGGGCTGCTTTCAGGGACCCATCCCTAAGGGAGCAGTGCCACAGCCTGGGCCAGGAGGGGACTGGAAGCCCAGGGACAGGTGCATGTCCCCAAGCAGCCAGATCTGGGGTAGCCCAGAGCACCCCCAGCGTGTGCCCCGGAACCTCCACAAGTCAGCCCCCGCCCCAGCCCCACGCACGGCACACACTCACCCGGCAAAGGCCACCAGGGCCACGGCGGAGTAGGGCGCCCAGGACAGGACGAAGAGCAGGATGACCAGCAGGGCGATCTTGGCCATCTTCCACTCACTGCGCAGCCGCTGCCACTGCCGCCGCCGCCGGGGGGACTCCCCGCAGCTCTCAAAGGCCCTGGGAAGTGGGGTCCGGCTCAGACCCCTCTGGGGTTGCAGTGGGGACACTCCAGAGGGATCCTTTCCGGAACAGAGCCTCACTGTAACCGCACCAGGCCTCAGGGCCGCGGGGTGCACCGTGCGTCCTGCAGCCTGGGCGTGCACAGCGTGCACAGCGCCCCCTGCCGCCTGGACGCTCACTCACCGGCCGGTCTCCCGGATGGCCCTGAAGATGAAGATGTAGCAGTAGATGATGACCAGCAGCGGCAGGAAGAACACGAAGCAGAAGAGCAGCATGGTGTAAGCGCGCACAGAGGGCGTGAAGGTCACGTAGTCCCAGGAGCAGGAGGTCAGCAGTCCCTCGGGCACGTAGGCGCCTGGGGGGGGGACGCTGTCGGCCTCATGCTGGCCCTGTCCATGGCTCCTGATCCAGTGCGGCCTTCATGCAGGGGTTTGCATGGGGTTCGCAGATACGGGGCTGGCCCAGCCCAGGCCCCATACGCTGGTCATGCCACGCACCTGTCACCTCGGCCCACCTCAGCACCCTGTATCGGGTCACACACAGGCCGCCCAGGTGACTCCGGCCCCTGATGGAGCACCCTGCCTCTCCTGCTCCTAGTGACGCCCTGTCAATGTCCATCTGACTCGGTTCCCACCATATGGCCTGGCCTGGCCTACTGCTCCCCCTCCACGCCATCAGCCACTTACTCCAGCCGAAGAAGGGTGGCAGACTCCAGGCCAGGGCATAGAGCCAGACGCCCAGCAGGACAAGCGCCGCCTGCCTCTTGGAGGCCACCCCGATGGTAGCCAGTGGGCGTGTGATGACCAGGTAGCGGTCCAAGGTGATGGCCGTCAGGGTGATCATGGAGGTGATGCCAAAGAGGGCCCCACAGAAGGCATAGAACTCGCAGCCTGTGGGCAGAGCCCTGCCTGAGCTCTTGGAGGGGCGCCCGTCAGAGCCCAGTGGACAAGGAGGTCAGGGTAGGCATAGGGAGCCTCTCTCCTGACTTCTGGGAGAGCACGCCGCCTCTTCCACTTCCCGGTGAGGCTGCAGGGGCCTCGGGGCCAAATTGCCCGCCCCCTCCCTCACACACGGAGGGCAGCGGCTGCCCGCTCTGTGCCCAGGAAAAGCAACAGCCTCATCTGGGCCACCCCACTCTGGGGCATCTCTGCCACCCCTACCTTCCCCCTGCAGCAGCCCACCTGCCTCCCCAAAGAGCCACCGCTTGTAGAGGCTGCTGGTGAAGAAGACGGGGGCCTGGGTGAAGGACATGAGGAAGTCGCTGACCGCCAGGTTGATGATGAACATGTTGGCCGGGGTCCGCAGGCCTCTGCTCCTGTGGGGGTCAGGGGCGGCTGGGGTGCTTCCTAACACCTCGGTACACAGCACCCACATGCCACACGCCCACATGCACAAGCACACAGGCTTTGCACACACCACACCCCTGCACTGCACGAACACATGCACACACACACACATACATACACACACATGTGCAAGTTGACAGGAAGGGGGTTGTTGGCCCAGGGTGCCTCTGTCTAGTAGGTCTTCCTGGGGCAGTGGCTGGCCCCAGCAGTGGTGGCTCTGGGGCACCCCAAGGCAGCTCCACCAGAACAAAGTAGGGAGCAGTGTCTCTCCGAATGCCACCCCTTCCTCTACTCTCTCCCTGGGCAGAGCTCTCCAGCCCCAGCCTCCCAGCGCCTCCCCCGACAGCCTCCTGCTCAGAGCCATCCTCTCCCCTCCTTCCAGGCTCCTGCCGGGCCCAGCCCTGCACAGCACAGCTGCCCTGTGCGGCCCTCGTCCTGGTGGTGGGGCTGACACCTGTGACACAAGCAGCCACCTGCACAAACCTTGTCTCTGGTCCCCAATCCTCTCTGGGGACCTCCCACCCCCAGAGGCAGTCACAGTTTCAGGTGAGGATCCCAAGGTCCTCACTCATGAAGTAACTTGCTCTGGTCACAAAGCCCGGGGAGTGGCTCACACAGGAGCCTGGGAAGCGACCCGAGGAGAGCAGAGCCAAAGCGGAGAGGACAGCGACTTGCTTAGCACTGCCTGGTAGTGGTGCAGCCAGGAAATGGGGCGTCCCTGGGTCTGGGCTGACAGCGCCACCTGCCTGTCCCAGCCATTGGGGGCCAGCAGGGCTGAGTGGAGCAGGACGTCCACCCAAGGACTGGAGGACTCAGGTGCCCAGGGTGCTCTCCCTGGAGAGGATGCTTACTGGGCAGAGACCCAAGGGTCCCTCTGGTCCCTGGCTTCCGCCAAGCACGTGCCCGGGCCTGACCCGCATGTACTGTCCAAGCTTCCCCAGTCCACCCTTTGCCCTGCCCCTCCCCGACAGCCCTATCAGCCCAGTGTCCCCCGAACCCTGACCCTGCCCACCAACCGGGCACCTGCAGAAGGTGTAGATGACCGTCAGGTTGCCCAGCATCCCGGTGAGCCCCACCAGCAGAATCACTGCACCCAGGGTGTAGTGTGCGTGTGCTGGAACGTCCACCGTGGGGAAGGGGATCCAGGCCGCTGCCTGAGCCCCGGCCACCTGTGGAGAGAGACCTGCCACTATCACCTTCCAGGATCCCGGAAAGGAAGGCTTAGGGCTCCCAGGGAGTGAGTGGGTGAAGCCACCTGCGGCCCAGCTAGCTGGTGACGGAGCAGAATGGAAATCTGGGCTTCTGTTTCACTGCCGTGTTGCATCTAACAGAAAGGCAGATTCATAAAAACATGACTGTGTGTCCTCAGCCACCTTACTGGACCTGGCGCTGTGCAACTTCTGGCTCTTCCTTAAAGTCAAAATGACCATGAAAGGTCAAATGTTTGGAAGCCAATCTGAACATTAAGGCAGGTGTGATGGTGTAACTAAAGCACTCAGGAAAAAGACCTGCTTCAGGAAGTGGCAAGACAAAAGCCAAACAGGAACAAAAAATAATTTTAAAAGAAAAACCAGCCCAATGTGGTGGCACATGTGTGTAATTCCAGTACTCGGGAGGCTGAGGCGGGAGCATCTCTGCAAGTTTGAGGCCAGCCTGAGTAACACAGTGAGACCTTGTCGAAAGAAAGAAAGAAAGAAAGAAAGAAAGAAAGAAAGAAAGAAAGTGAGCAGTGGGATGAGTGTGTTCAAAGCCAGGGAGCGGACCCTGAGAGGGACCCATGGCAATCTTTTACTGTAATAACTTTAATCACACATACCAGTTTTTTGGTCCTCTCTCTTGGCCCTCATGGATGCACTGGGAGGGCACTGCCCTGCGAGGTCAGTGCCAAGGGCCTGAACACCTCTCCCACTAGCCCTTGCCCGGGAGGGCAGAGGTCTGGGTTTGGTCCTACCCAGCACCTCACTCTTACCTGAGCAAACCCAGAGCCCTGGCCACACTTCCGAGGGGGAAACCGAACCACGGGCAGGTGGCAGCCTCTTCCTGCAGGCTGCAGCCCCTCCCACAGGCTGCCTCTGTTTCCCCAGTGTCGGAGGTTTTTATGTTACCGTCAGAGCAGTGCGAAGCAGGTGAGAGGGCTGCATACCCGCACCCCCACCTTACCGTAGGGCTGCCTGGAGGCAGCGGAGCCGGCGTGAAGAGGCTGCTCAGGGTGTCATCCCCCCTGCTAGGTGCCGGCAGCGTGGCCGAGACGCTGGACCCCTGGGTGGGCCCGGATGAAGGCTCCATTCTGCAGCACGTGGTCCCTGCTCACGCATAGAGGACCTCAAGGGTGCGGGCAGCGGCTGGGGGCTCCAGCTTTGTGGCCTGCTGCCTCTGCTCCATCCTGAGTACTGACCACTGGCCCTGCATCAGGCGCAGACACAGCTGCAGCGTGCGCTCAGCGTGTGGCCAAGCGCAAAGGGACGTGGGTCAGCCCGGGCGGCTCAGCCCCGCGCCTCCGCCTTTAAACTGGACGCCAAGGGCCGCACATGCGCAGTCACTGCTGGCAGCGGGCTCCCCTCAGACGTGGTCCCCGGAGTCTGCAGATGGCGCTGGACCATGTGCACCCGAGCGCAAGAGCGAGAGTGCGCAAGTGCGCATGTGTGTGTGTGTGTGTGTGTGTGTGTGTGTGTATGCTGCAGGGATGTGGCCTGGCCCATGTCCTGGACACCAGACAGACGGTTTTGTCCTCCTGACCAGGATGCCCAGGCATCCCTGTGCTTACCCAGAGCAGCCTCTGCCCCCCGGACTCTCCTGTGCAGAGGAAGAGGATCACTGGGCACTCCAGGTCCGCCAGGCCCACAGGGGTGCAGCAGGTCCCTGCGCAGCATTTCTGAGAGAGGCCCAAGGAAGGGGTACCCCGCACCTGGCCTTCAGAGCCTGCAGCTCCCTGCACGGCACCCCTTCTTCAGGGCTGACACCCAGCAGCCCTGGAGGCTGACGGGGGTCAGCATCCTCCGCAACCCACCCCACCTGCACAGCCACTCCCCCACCCGAGCTCACCAGCCCTCTGAGACAGCCCCGGGGCCATGCCATCCAAGCTGCCAGCTAAAAGCCATGTCCCAGGCCGAGGCGGGTGAAGCCTGCATTCGGGAAGTCTGCTTCCATTCTGTGAGTGTGGAGACGAGGAAGGACCCCTGCCCCAGCCCCCTTAAGGTGTTGCCTCTCCTCCTGAGGAGGCAGAATAGGAAAGTATCTGGTGACGGGATTAGCACCAGGTGTGGGCGCTGCCCCACCCACAGCCAGGGAATGCCTACCCCAGGCCTCTATTTTCTCCTTGAGCTGCTTTATTTATTTATTTATTTTTATCCCTGGCACTGGGACTGGAACCCAGGGGTGCTCTACGGCTGAGCTGCCTTTCCAGCCCTGTTATGTTGTACTTTTTATTTTGAGACAGGGTCTCCCCACGTTGCCAGGCTGGACTCTGAAACTTGTGATCCTCTGGCCCCAGCCTCTCAGAACCCTGGGACTACAGGCATGCCCCATAGTTTGGGACCAGCTGCCCCCACCCCTAACCATGCTGGTCTCAACCTTGGTTGGGGTGCTAAGCACCACATTCAGGCTCCAGGCGGTCTGAGTGCAGCTGCCAGCCGAGTGGGGAGGTGTCCAGCTGCACCAGCTGACAGCACCGGAGACCAAATGACGTGCGATCAGTACCATGGGGGAGGGGAAGGGGCTGATCACAGATGGCCCTGCCTGGGCTTCCAAAGCCTCCCCACCCCCCTCAGTTTCAGCTGCAGCGCGCCTGGTCAGGGTCATAGAGGGCATTGTCCCAGGCCCCAGCTACTCACGTCCTCCTGCCCACCTCTCCAAGCACACTCCAGTGTCCCTGATGGCAGTGTCAGCTGATTATGCCTGTCTCTTTCCCCGCTGCAAATGGACCTGTCGCTCACCTGTGTGAACCCAGCCCAGGGGAATGAATCAACACCTCTGCCACACAGGCTGGTGCACACCTGTGATCCCAACATTTGGGAGGCTGAGGTAGGAGGATGGCTGACACTTTGAGACCAACTTGAGCTACACTATATCAAGAAAAAATAAATAAACAAAGATTCCCCAGTCCCTGCTTCTCCAAGTGGGGTCTAAGGAGCAGCCACTTCCATGTCACCTGTGGCTCCCTGGAAATGTGGCCTCTCCTCCCCCTACCCCATTGCAGGTGGCTGATTCCCGCAGTCAGGACTCTTCCCAGGGTGTCAGGGGATGGTGACAGTGTTGGAAGGGGATGCTGAGGCTACCCAGAGATCAGGGTGCGCTGTAACCGGGAGCCTGAAGGACTAACAGGAGACGGGGCTCTGGGGTGCCACGGTTGGGGCTGAATTGTGGGGAAAGGGTGCTAGTAAGCAGGGATGGGGACCTACCCCCCGCCCCGATCCCCCGGCCTCCTGTGTCAGTGGTGAGGTTCCCTGTGGTGGGGAGCGGAGCCTGGCTCTGCAGCCGATAGATGGGGGACTGCCTCCCAGGGTGCTCTCAGCCCTGGACCACCTGCCCCAGCCCTGGGCTACCCTGAGGTACCAGGGGTATTCAGGGAGCGGTGCCAGCTCCCTGCCTGGCCGGCCTGTGTGGGGCCCCTACTCAGTTCAGCCTTGGTATCACCAGGGATCACACTTGTCCCGTGTATGCCCACAGCTGCCACACCAGGGGCACCAGGGCTGAGTGTTCGCAGTGGTGCCCGGTGGTGCCAGGCAGCCACAGCTCTGTGCTCTTCACACTTCAGAGACACCACTGGAGGTGTCAAAAGCTTTCCAGGCCCCTCGGCCTCAGGGCACAGGCAGCCTAGGCGTCATTTGCACCATTTAGCATTAGACCAGAAAAGAGTTAGGGACAGCCCAGCAGGGGCCCCATTTGGGGGGACTGAAGTGAAGCAGCCACCATGGACACTTGGATCCCCAAATGTTGCTTTCACCCATGGGCCTTCTGACCTCCAGAGTTCTTACAGAAAAGGCCTGAAAGCCCTCAAAAAAGAAAAAGAAAAAAAGCAAGCAGGTATGGTGGCACACACCTGTGACCCCAGCACTCAAGAGGCTGAAGCAGGAGGATCCCTTCAAGTTCGAAGCCAGCCTGAGCAGTACAGTGAGTTCAAGGCCAGTCTGAACTACATAGCAAGACCCTGTCTCAAAATTTAAAAATCCAGGAGGGCAGGAAGCTCCCGGCCTCTGCCGATTTCCATTTCTGGCCACACTGCCCAGTGTCCCACGAGGCCCCCAGCCCAACCAGGAGAACTTTAGTGCCAATTTCATGCCACCCTGTCCTCTAGTGCCATTGCCCAGACAGGGCTCTCAGTTCCTCAGAGGCCTCCAGGAAACTCCCAGGCGCTGTGACTGTGTGTGTGTGTGTGGGGGGGGGGATTAAATATCTTAACCAACACCCAGCCTGCAGACACCTGAGGCCTCACTCACTGGGCTCAGGCAGCATGGCAGGATGGGGCTTCCCTGCCTATAGTGGAAACAGAGACATTGTGGCTGTCTCTGCCCACCTGTGCTGTGCCCAGTGCTGGACCAGGACACCTCCCATAGCTCTATCTGTCCTCAGGAGCCAGCTGGGCGCCCAAGGGTCTCCCGAGCCCCAGAGCATCAGCGTCCTTTGGTCCCTGCACCCCCCACCCTCCGTGTCCCACGGGGTCGCCTCTTGGGAAGCCTGTGTCAGCCACAGCGGGGACAGCGCGGGCTCCCAGGATCCTGGAGAGTGGCACAGTCCATTTCCTGCCCCCTCCCGAGGGTGTCCTCGTGTCTGGCCTGGGTACTGTTCCTGGGTGCTCCTGTCCGCCCAGTGCCCGCCCTGCCCAGTCTGCCTGTTATTTTAAGAATCCGGTCCAGGGGACTCGGGCATCATCCCCGGAGCGCTGTGAGCGCCGCACATTCATCGAATTCCTGCGGCCGGTGCCCCACCCCAGGCTGGCGCGGACACAGTGACCCACACCAGCTGGTACGATGGCCAGCGAGGAGGCGATGCAGTCCAGCCCTGGTCAGCGGCCTGTGTGTCCCTTAGCGGGAGGCCCTGAGGAGAAGGGCGTCAGGTGACGGAAACCAGGAAGCAGGAGGTCAAGGGAAAACAGGGCCAAGGCCTGAAGCTCAGACTGCCCCTTGGAAAACTGACCATGCACCCAGCTCCCGGCCAGCCACCCGCCCAGAGTGTGGCCTGCCACCGGAGGAGTGGGGCTTGTTCCTTAGGGCCGACGTGTCCTTGCTTGCACACAGCGCTGCAGGTTTCTATATGGATGTTCCCAAAGCCACCTGTGCTCAAAGAGGGTCAGGTGACCGAATTATGAGATCGGGAAGAAGTGGGTGGCTGGGGGGCGTGGCCTGGACGGGGCGTAGCCTGGACGCGGGGAGTGGCCTGTTTTGTGGGGCGTGGTCTGAGTGCGAGGCGTGGCCTGGATGTGGGGGCGTGGCCTGGATGCGGGGCGTGGACTGCAAGGGTTTATCTTCCCTCCCTGCTCTTCCCGTCTCTCCCTGCTTCCCGCCTGCCGCAGGTGAGAACAGCTCTCCTCTGCCAGGCCATTCTGCCGTGCTGCTCTGCCTTGGAGCCAGCCAAATAGAGATGGAAACCTAAGCCTGAACAATCCGCTCCTCATCCTTAAATTGTGAGTGTCAGGTATTGGGTCCCAGCGATGAGAAAAGTGACCAAGACATCGGAGTTGTCTAATTTCAGGGTTTGTCAGTGGGACAGTAGAAGCGATTTTCCTCCTCAGTCTTTTCTAGCTGGTCATAAGCAGTTCCACGCCATTGCCTGCAAAGCGGGCATTCAGTTGAGGAAGAGGGGAAGGGAAGAGGTACCCCAGGTTGATCAGTGTCAGCCCAGAGCGATTCCTGCCAGCTCAGAGAGCAGAGATGTCAAAGACACACGGAACAGGATGGAAATCTGCAGGGAGCCTGGGGTGTTCCCAGCAAAGGGCGATTCCCCCAACTCAGGACCTCAAGCTGTTTGCTCTGTGGCCGCCATGCAGGCCCGTGCAGATTGCAGCTTGCATGCATGTCACTGAAGTTCTGAGTGAGCCTACAGACAGCTGGCACTGTCTTTCTGTGCCTTGGCACACCGGGCAACTGTGCTTGCAAAATTGCGAAGTGGGGGCTGGGGATTTAGATGGGGCTGGGGATTTAGCTCAGCGGCATAAGCGCCTGCCTTGCAAGCAGGCAGTCGTAAGTTCCATCCCTGGTACCGATAAAAACGAAAAAGACCAAAAAAAAAAAAAAAAAAAAAAATTGCAAAGTGGCCACGGTGCAAAGTCCCTGCCCCCCAGCACCCAGCACCTTCAGGTGGCTTTCAGCTTTGCCCACTGTCTACTACAAGGAGCCAGATGGTCACGAGGAACCACGTAGCTCTGAGACTCAGGTTCTTTGCTCTCAGATGATGTTTTGGTCAACAAGGGATGGCACAGAAGATGGGGGTCCCGGCTGAGTGAGGTATCCCGTGTCTGTAATCCCAAAACTTGGGAGGCTGAGGCAGCAGTGAGATCAAGGCCGGCCTGAAGCATATAGTGTGCAGGTCACATGCGAAACACTTGGCATTTGAGGCAGTTTCTTAAGTCCGGGTACCTGGGAGCGTCTGAGAGTGGACCCCAGGTGCCACTGACGCAGTTAACTCTGCACAAACTGAGCTCACTGTCTCCCAAGTCAAAGAGTGAAACA